GCCCAGGAGCGGTGGGCTCAGTGCTCCCTGCCAATTCTCTTTCCAGTGGGTGCCTCCTACCGGGGCCAAGCTGTCAGGGGGCTGCCCAGCCTTGACCAAGCAGCACTGGATGGATGCCTGGGACACATGTTGTCCAGAGGGAATTGTTTCCCCTCCTGGGAGCACTCGCTCTCACAGGCGTCTCTTGCCTGGCTTCTGTGAGCTAATCAGGGAGAAGGAGGGGGAGGAGGGGGATGCTGCTTGCCTTCCCCGTTATCTGCAGCAATCCACGGTGACTAATGCTCCCAGTTGGTAAAAAGGCAGTATAATCAAAACACTTTTTTTTTAGTCCTTAAAGTTAGTCATTCTCCCAGAGTGGAGGAAAAAAAAGCCCACAGCAGGCACCATGAAATGCAAGCTGAGAGGCTCACGCTGACACTGGAGCTGAAGCATGGCCATGGCGGCTCCCTGTGGCTCTAAGGCACAGGCCCTCCTCCTTGGACCCTTGGGTGGCCTTCTTCCACACCCTCATTTGTTCTTGCTTTCCTCCACACCTAGGCTGCCCCATCCCTGAAGGACTTCATGCCAAGTCAGGATCTGCCCTTTTCTCTCACCCTGCCAGGTGCTGCCACCTGCTGGTCCTGAGATCTCCAAACTGGAGGAAGCATACAAAAGTTCCCAGGACTCAGCATCGGAATCCTTGCTAGGTGCCTGGTCATGTGCTGGCCTTCCCTCCCCCCCCAACCCAGCCACCCAGTGCTGAGCTTCCTCTGGCTCCATCTGTCTGCTGGTTTCTGGCCCCGGTTGGCCCTGACAGAACCATCGATTGTCAGGAACCTCAGGAATCATCAACAAGTAGAGGTTGGGTTCTCCATTCCACCATTTACTGGCCGTGTTTCAGCTCCTCCACACTGATAAAAATAATAGTACCCACCTCACAGAGTCGTTGCAAATATTAAATGTGAACTGCTTAGAATAGTGCCTGACACACTGTAAGTGCCCAGTTATTAACTCGTGATAAAAATAGCAAAATACTGAAGTGGAATGTATGGCATCCCAGCCCCTTTACTTAGCCAAGGCAGACATTGCTAATCAATCACAGTCCTTCCCCAACAATGGCAGATTCCTCAGACTCCTCAACACGGCACTCCAGACAGACAGTAACAAGCGATCCGAATTGGCACATGGATCTAACCCAGACTCTATTACAGTCAAGGAGGATGAGGCCCCAGGGAGGGAAGAGACTCCCACAAGCTACTCAAAGGCAGAGCCAGAGTCCCACCTCAGCTTCTGACTTGCCACTCTACCCTGGCCTTTGAACCATCACTGTGGGCTTCCCACCACTGGAAAGTCTAACTCTGATATCATCCATCTTCTCCCACCCTTGCTCCTCTTTCACGTCCTTGGCCCATGGCTGCCCAGGAGCCTGTTGTTCTGAGACAACCTGCTGAGCAGGTGCGGAGCAGAGAGAAGTGGGGAGTGAAACCACATAGAAACCTGAGGGTCTAGGTCTTCATTTATGCTGCAAGAGCCTCCCTGAGGCAGAGGCCTTTAGGCCTGCAAGGGAGCTCAGCCTATCGATTTGGCCCCTTCACATTCAGTCCCTTTGGTCTCAGCCCTCATGCTCTAATGAAGCCCCTAAAGGCCCGGATCCACACCTGGAATCCTTGCTCTTAGCTGATTGGGGGTTGGCATGGTGAAAGAATCAAAGGGTCAGCCTCTGTGTGGGGAGGGCTGCACGGGGGGCACATATGACCAGCCCAGAGATGAGAACAGTGGGGAGGACCTGCTTACAAATCTCTGAGTGAAAATCTCCAAGAAGAGGTCAGGGGTCTGGTGGCAGAGTTGGTTCTTCAGCTGCTTTCCCCCTGGAACAGCTGTGTCCCCTGAAGTAGATCTCTGCCACCTGAACACTCTTTAACTGCAGGCTCAGACTTCTGGGAGAAAGCTGTGTTCACTGGGCCTGAAAACAGGAGCATCCACTTCTCCCGAAAGCTCCTCCGCTCTTAGCTTCCACTTAGAAACCACATTCGCTCCCTTTCCCCTCCCCTGAAGGGGCAGGATCGACCTGTATGGTGCTGTCCTCTGGTTCCTGAAAAAGGAAGACAGCTCCCAAGCCTAGGTCTGGAGACCTGCAGCTGAGTGTTCCAGGAAAGTGGGAGGTGCTCGTGATCCTTGTGGCTACCTCTCCAGCATCAATGCTACGTGGCATGTCATGCTCACAGACGGAAACTGTGGGTCCACAGGACAGCAGGATACCTGACCATCCACCCAGCCCAGCCTACCTCAAGCTGGACCAATGGGCCTCAACAAGGAGATGGAGCTCAGCTCAAAGCAGGCACTTCCCAGACAGACTCCTAGAGGCCAGCATTCTTCTAGGACCTTAGAGGTTCTGCTGGCTACATTAAAGATTCAGGGTTAGAGGTACGAGGCACAGCCCCAGTTGGGCCTCAGGCTGAATCCTTCCCTCCCAGAAGGTATATGTTTCGCTACATCCCCAGCAATCACTGACTCCTCAGATCTGGTCTTGGCTTAACTCTCCATTCAGGCTCCACCTCACATGCTCGCTCCATTCTCTTATTTATGGACTTCGAAGTCAACAAGACAGTTGATTTGGAACATCAAAATGCCCCAACTTCGGTGGTGTGATCCACCCACTCATCTTCTAGATGAGAGGACCGAGGAAGACCCAGAGAGGAATGTATGTGGCTTGTCTAGGTCAGTCATAATACCAAAGACGGAACTAGAGCCCAGGAGCCCTCTGGATTCTTAGTCTAGAACTCATCATTTTTGCCCTGTGAGATGCCTGCTAGCGCCACCCACCTCCCCAGCCCTGAAATAGACTTTTCCTGGGATATGGGGGCTGCCTAAGCTAATACTTTTGGAGATGCTTTAGCATTACTGGACAATAACTAAGGGAGACAGAGTATGGAGAAAGGAAGAAGCAGTTGGGAGAGCCCTCCGCAGGTGCTAAAGTGCCAGGAGGCTCATAAAAACACAACACCTGCATTCGCAAGTGATTGTGGGCTGCCTGTGCCCTGGTCATTGATAATGCAGGGAGAGGAACTGCTGAAAGCATTTCCCCGTGTTTGGAGGGTCTTCCCCAGTTGCTTCCAAACCCTGGAGCTTTCGTACATAATTGAAACACACACACACTGCCCTGGTATGTTTGACTCAGTGGTTAGGGAGCATCAGGCTGAGAACTGAAGGGTTGTGGGTTCCTGGTCAAGGGCATGCACCTCAGCTGCAGGTTCAATCCCCAGCAGCTGCAGGCTCAATCCCCAGCCCCAGTGGGGACACATGTGGGAAGCAACCAGTTGATGTGTCTCTCTCACATTGATGTTTCTCTCTCTCCCTTCCCCCTTCCCTCTTTCAGGCTTTCTAAAAATCAATGGAAAAAAATATCCTCAGGCGAGGATTGAAAAAGAAAATGAGAAGCTGTCTGGGGTTCTGGGGCCTCCTCATCCCCAAGGACCCTCAAGCCCCATCCATCACACCCTGTGCAAAGCAGCAAGGACTCCCCTCCCTTTGCCTACACTCTCTGCCCTGGCTGCCCTTCAGTGACTTCTCCCTGCTCTCGTGCTCATTGTGGCCTGTTTCCTGAGGAATAACAGCAATGAAGCTGGTCTGTGTGGTATACTTGGAGGCCCACCCTCCAATGGAAAGCCTTTACTGGGTCAAACTCTAGACCCTCAAGAATGGAAACAGAAATCATAAATGAGAGACTATCTCCTCTGACAGTCCTCCAAGCTCCCCTCCTCCTCCTGGCCAGCCTTCTACCCTGCCCTGGGCGGTCAGAACAAATGATACATGTCCTCTGCTCTAACTCGCTGGCTTAGCCACTCTCCAAGCAGCCCCTAACACACGAGTCCATTTGAAGGGGGAGACTTCCCGGACAGAGGCCCCTGGAGGCCCAGCAGTTACCAGCACAGGCCTCCTGCCTGCTCCTCCCGCTCTAAGGCAGGGGCTTCTTGCCCTCACTCAGGTTCTCCTGGCGCCTATGACCCCCTTGCATATTGGCTTGCACAGTGGCTCCTCGGTTCTTTCCCATCCTCTATTCTTACTTAGTTGCCTGTTTATCTCTCCCTCCAGGTAAGTAGGTCTGAGAGGGCACAAGGGCAGGACCCATACTTCTTTTCCATGAATGTATCCTTGAGGTTGGCCCAGTGCCTGGCACATTGTAGCTCAATGGCTAACTGTTAAATGAATGAGTAGGAAGAACGGGACCAGTGGCTTCGTTTTCGTCCTGCAGGCGGGTGCCCAGAGGGAAGGGCTGGACGACAGGGAGCCGCCCTTCCTCTCGGTGCCCCCTGTGCTGGGTGACACTCCCACCTGCGAAGGACCCATTCTCCTTACACTCAGAGCCAGCCCCGGACATCTTGAAGGCGGGAAAGGGGGCACTTGCTTGTTTGTAACAGGTAACGGCACACGTAGAAGGCACAAAATTTAAGAGAGACAAAGGGCCATACAGTGAACATCAGTCTCCCTCCCCATTGGCTCCTTCCCCGCTAGCAAGTCCTCTACTGTCTCCGGGTTAGAAGCCTCTTTACAGACAGAAAGACTAGGCAATAACCCGGTTAGGCGACCCGTGTGGTCCTCGGCAGAGAAGTCACAAGTCAGTGCTGAAGGCAGAAACACGCCCCGGGGTCCTCCTCACGCCCCCGGGGTCCTCCTCACGCCCCCATCACGCGAGGGTCGCGGGCCAGGGCACCTCTCGCGGGAGCCCGCGGCGGCGGCGGGGTTAACGCGGAGGCCGCGCCCCCTCAGCCGCCTCTTCCGGGTAGAGGGGGCGGGGCTCGCGTCACTTCCTGGAGACTGGCTGAGTCCGGAAGTGATCCCCGAGGACCGAGTGGCGGCGGCGGACCCGGGCGGCGGGGCCAGGTTCGGGACCATGAGCTGGTGAGTGAGGCCCCGCGGCAGGGCCGCTGCAGCCCGGGCCGCGACGCGCCTTGCCCTGCGTCCCCTGCGCCCCTCGCCGCGCTGCCCCCGGGACCCTGCGCCCGGAGCAGGGCCCGACTGGCCCCGGTTCCAGGGTCGTCGAGTGGCCTTGCCCGGTGCGCCGCCGGGGTCTCCGTCTCTCTGCAGGACTTACCGGGAGATGGGGCCCGGGGCCCGCGTCTGACTCGGTTCCCGACCCTTCGTGTTCCCAGGAGCCGGTCCCGTCTTCCCCCGGCGGCTGGGAGTGGGGGCTTCCTTGTTCCCTTCTCTCTGGAGTGTCCTCTGTCTCCCTGTGGCCGCCTCTCCGCCGCTCCCGTCCGAGCTGTGGCCCTCACTCTGCAATCTGGGCTCCACTCATGGATCAAAACCCACTTGCTTTCAGCCTTTGCAGCATTTCACAGTCTTTCTAAGACAAAACTTGCTTCTCTTTTGGAAGGACCAGAATTAAACACCCACACCCACACTCCCACAGTAGGGCTGGATTGGTTTTAATCATTTCCAGGGCCATTACCCACTCGCTGCTTTCGGTCTAAAATAGACATAGGTAAGCTTAGGCATCACGGGAGCTATCAGGCCGCGAGACCAGAAGCCAGGGAGCCTCGGAGTAGCAGAGTCACAGCTCCGGAGCTGGAACGTGCGTGGCTGCAGGACGATGTGATGCCTGGCCGTCGTTACACACTTCACAGCGCTGAATGGTTGGTTTATTTTGTAAGGCTCAGTTTGCCCCAAGGACCTTGCCTGCAGGCCAAAGACCTGTGTATCCACAACCCCAACCCTCAGGGGATCCTAAGTGTGCTCGTCGGAGTGCATGGACCCCAGAGAGGGCACAAGAGGAATCAACCCTTTTGGAATCCAGGTTTCATTCGTGTAGGGAACGTTTGCCACTCTGTCCTCAGAGGGTAGCCTGTTTATGTATGCCCAGTATGTGCATAATAACTAGTTGTGGTGAACGGAGATGGTAGGACGTACTTCGGGAAGGCTCCTGCAGGCTCCCATTTGGCCATCAGTGGAGACTGTAGGCTCTGGTCACAAGCAGCTGGTGTCAGTCAGTGTCAGGGACTGCTCTCTAATGTAAAATTTAAGCATCGTCTGTCCCCTCTTTCCAAACCCCCCCCCCCTTCTTAGAGGGAGATTGATGGACGAATGTCAGACGGTAGTCGCGGGCAAAAGGAGGGAAGCCCCGAGCAATGCCCTAATAAGCCCCAGCAGGAGCTGCTCCTTTCCCTCCGTCTTTGCTCCAGGAGGCCAGGAGGCGGCTGGAGCCTTAAAAAGCTAACTTTCCGGTCTTGTTATAACCTAGTTAGTGATGGGAAAGTGGCAATCCTTCAGTTCCCTTTCCTAGAGGAATTGCTTCCTTAAAGTGCCAGTCTGGGTCCCCGGACCTTGTGATATAGATGTCCCCTTACGGCTGCATCTTGAAATTTTCATTCTCCCACCTAATTTTTTAAGGTAAAAAGCAGGAAGAACAGATGCATCATATTGCTTAAATTGGAGTTTACAGTTTTTAAAAAACGCATCAGTCTTTTCTTCATAAATCAGAAGAGTAGAACAGAGACCACTATAGGGAAAGGATCCTCTGGGTGATCGAGGCACACTATTTCCACCTCTCTCACAGAAGTGTTTTTTCTGCAGAAATGAGTAGCCAGTTTCCTAAAGTCTGTCAGGTTGAAGAGAATTGAAATTGACAACTAGCTGTCTAGCCAAAGCTGAGATTTTTATCCAGTTGAATTAATTTACCAGTACATGCACATCTTGGCACCTCCTTGGACTGAGGGTCACGACCAAAAGGGCAGCTTTGTCCCTCAAAGCTGAGATTCCTTTCTCTTCCTCCTTAGAGTTCTTCTACGTCATCTCTTGCGTGGTCCCTGACCCCCTCTCCCTGAGAGGGGAACTGCACCGGTGCCTGGGCACACAATTGCACTCAGTTCCTGACTCAATGGCTGGCAAGGGAACTGGGGCTGGACCCTTCTGATTCACTCCAGGAGTGGTTTTTCTGCTCCCAGAATCAATCCACCCATTCATCCGGGACTGGAATTCTCAGTGGGGGAAGAGACCAGAGTGACGTAGAGCCATCATGGGAGTTGGATGCCCAAGGTCAAGTTCACCAAGCACATGGGATATGCCAGCTATCATTGAATAAGGCCTAGGGACACACAGCCCATGGCCCCAAGAGGGTAACCATTGTTCTGGGCTTTCAAAATGTCACAGTGAGAAATGTCCAATATTTATGCCCTTTGCATACTGTGGACTTTGCATGAAGAGGGAGAGGTCTTTGTTCTCTGCTTCCTCTGTGCCTGCAGCCTACCCACCCCCTGTTTGTTTAGTGGGTACCTGCCCCCTGCTGCACCATCTACCCATCCAGTCATTTCACCCATTCATCGAGGTGTCCCAGTGTTGTGCTCTGCTAGGAAGAAGGCATTTGATGTTCACATCTCAGATTACTGATACAAGCCAGTGCTTCTCTCTCTCCCCTCCTCCATGTCCCCCTCTGTCTTCCTGTGTGTGTGTGTGTGTGTGTGTATGACTTTATTATGGTATGAAAGATGAAGTAAGTAGAATTAAGAAGGGTGACCTTAATCTGGTTTAGCTGTCTACAGGGATTTTAGCCTTCCCTGGAACCACAGACCTTGATGATTTTAGGCTTAAATGACAAGGAAATGACTACTGGAGGAAGTCTTCCTATACCTAGAGGCCCAGGAGTTGACTCTGAATGAAGGAAATTAGAGCGAGTGCAGCTAAGTTTAGCTAGGAGCTCGAGTGCTGAGTTCAGGTTCTGGTTCCCTCATTCACAATGTGGCCTGGTCAGGCATTTAACTTTCCTCTGTCTTGTTTTCTCCAACTATAGCATGCAGTTCATAATCCCAGCTGACACTTTGTCACCCAAGTCTTGTAAAAATGATGTAGACATGTTTTCTTTTCTAACTCATCTGGGCTCTTCTACCTCTCTCTGCCAAATATTGGTATTTCATGTGATCCATTCTCTCTCCCCTCTCCCACCTTCCCCTTCTCCCCTCATCCCTCCTCCTCTCCCCCTCCCCATCCCTCTCTCCCCCTTCCCTCCTTCCCCCTCTCCCCTCACTCCTCTTCCTCTCCCCCTCCCCTTCCCTCTCCCCTTCTCCCCCTCTCCCTTCTCCTCCTATCCCCCTCGCCCCCTCTCCCTTCTCCTCCTCTCTCCTCTCTTGTTCTCATCCCTTATACCTTCCCCATCATCTTCCGGCTAAAGGCCCAACTTTGGGCCATGGCTTACAAGGCCCTTCTGGATGTGGCTGTCTCTTTAGTCCTGTGTCCAGACTTTTCTGGGTCTCTCTTGCTCTTGTTCCTCTGTATGTGCTGTTCCTCTGCCTGAAATGCCTTTACTCCCCACCTCCACAATCCACTGTCCGCCGGGCCATGTCTACTCACCTTTCCAAAGTCAGGGCAGGCTTCACCCCTCTGGTGAGGGTCTTCCCTGAATGGCCCTCCACACCCTGCCAAGCTGGGTTGTGTGCCCCTCCTCTGATCCTCAGTAGCATCTGTACTGAATTGTTGGTTTACTTATCAGGAAATCCACTAGTCTATGAGCTGTTGAAAACAGGGACTTCGCCCCTTAGTCTACTACGATCTCCCTAGCGCTGTTCCCAACAGTTAGTAAATGTGTATTAAATGTATGAATGAGAATTTTTCCCCCATTTACTGACCTGCCTTAGTTCAGGAAAAATTGTAAGATAAAAACATGGAAAACCTACAAGCCACATCCTGAAATGAAGAGCCTCTAAGAATGCCATCATTAAATTGACTGATGGAAAAAGTGGCTTCCAAGACTTTGAGGACTGACTGTACTCCCCGCTCCTGTCTACCCACCCCTCCCCCAACTACTTTCTCCTGTACTTCCACATTCTTCCAGGCCTCACAGGTGTGCACCTCTCTCCCCCATAAACTTCGTGAGAGCGAGAGCAGGATCTACAATTTCAAGTGTGTGTTCACATACTGTCTTGTACATAGTAGGTAACTGTGACATGAAATGACTGGAATGTAAAGAAAGGACGGCACATTTTCTCAGTGGAGTCTCTGCCCTTTAGCATTGCCATTGCTATTACATTTGTATAGTGCTTTTAACCTTTCACATTGCTTTCCCATCCATTATTTGATTTCATCCTCACATTTACCCTTTGAAGTATGCGGTTCAGGTCTTATTATCTATCTCCCTTTGACAACTTATTAGAATTCAGTTACACAGCACCTGGCAGAACTGGAACTAAACCCTGCATGTTCTGAGTATTCTCCCTGCTTGAACAGAAACATTGGCAGAGTGGAAGGCCATTCGCAAACTGAATGGATCCCAGAGGAAGGTATTGGACTTTCCTAGCATGTATGGACACTGCCAGGTTGGGAGTGAATTACAGGAAGTTGCCAGTTTTCACACATAAGGTGATAGAAGGAGTCCTGTGGACTGCACACCACCAGGGGTTCTGGACCATCTCAGCTGCTTCCTACTCTGGTTCTTCACACCTGGGGCAGCCGTACCACTCACTCATCCTGTGACTTCGGACAGGCCAAGCTCTCCCAAGCCCTTTCCTCCAGAGAGCATGGCAATGCCCAGAAGACGGGGACCCTGTCCTCGAGACATTGCTTTGGGCACAAATGTAAAACACCTCACTCTTATTTTAGCTGTGTCTAAGGGAAGGGGAAGGGACTTTTTCCAGATTTTGAAGTAGTTAGAAAGAAATAAGTATCTTGAGTCCCACAGCTTCTTAGTCAAAAGTTTTCTTATGTATTATACTCTTAAGTAAATCTGTTGAGGTAGCTTTAGAGTTGGCAATTGAGCTGTTAGAACTGTTTTCACAAACCCAGTATTTTGGTGGCTAATCTGTTAAATGGGACCTAGTGTTGTGTATTGCACATAGATAGTGCTCAATAAATATTTGTTGGTTTAGTGAATATTGAACATTTTTAATGTATAAAGACCCGTGCTAAATGTTGAGGGACATTCAAAAAGCTATAAAAATTGATCCTTCCTGTCTTTGGCCAGAATGTGGAAGGTGCCAGGGACTCACGGGGATGACAGTGGGTCACTAAATGTCAGGTGGCATCGTCAGGAAAGACTCCAAGTAGAGGATGGGATTGTACTGAACCTTGACCTCCCTAATACGTACTGTTTAGTGGGGAATGAGAAGAACGGTGGGGAAAGGTGTGTGAGACATTTGGGATGGATGGACTCTGGGGAGCCCAGTTTGGGTTTAGTAAATAGGGACTTGGATGAGAGGCTGGTTTATTGACAGCTGGCACTCTGGTTGGGGTCACACTGTAGAGCCATACTGGGGAATTGAAATTGACCCTAGGCTTTTTAAAATTTAAGGGTTTTTTAAGCAGGAAAGTGGAATGGCAAAAGCAATGATTTAGTCAAGGTAATTTGGCAGTGGTCCACAAGATAGCTCAGAGAAGAGAGAGAATGGAGCTGGGGAGGCTGAGCTGCACAGTGGCTTCCAAAATGCTTTCACTCCAACTCTCAGTCAGAAGTACCTTTGATATCACAACACACGCACACACACACACACATTTGAAATAAGTTCCACACAATATATGTGTAATGTGCTCCGATATTTTTTATGTTCTATTTCATTTTTTATAGAATGACCCACTTTAATTGATTTCATGACTAATTTTAATATATGTTTACAATGGACTAATGAGTAGCAATTTACATGTCAGTGATGGG